AATAATAATAATAATAATAATAATAATAATAATAATAATAATAATAACAACAACTCTTTAATGATATTTTTGATATTCTTGTCATTTATATTATCTGCATGGCACAATGAATTATTATTTATGATATAAATATAATGATTATGTATGATTATGTATGTAAATAAATTGTAAAAAGATACATTAAAGCATAAGTTATTTCCATACATTTAAAACAAGAATTGTATTATTTTGTACTTAAGAAATTGTTATATGAAAATATAAGAAAGTACATGTACATAAAAATTTATATAGTATATATATGATACATATTAGCAATAATAAAATTATACTTACATTCAATGAATGTAGTGGTAGTACTTTGCAAAATTGGTTGTAAGTTAACATAGATCTAACATCTGTAGCAAATATAAAACTAATGTCTTTTAATGAATTAGATGTAACACAGATTGTATCAAAGACTGAAGACTAAATAATACATGTATCGGTACTACAAAAAGCACAATATAACTTTAATTACTTTTAGTATGGGTTATAAAATGTTCTCTCATCATTAATGCATTTATATAAACGAGAATCAGTCTCTTTTTTTGTAGTGTATGAATAACAAGTATTGTTTATAGATGTTTGTACATGCCTCGTGTATACAAATTTGTTGACATATGTAATAAATATGAATTATAATTTCAATGGAAATTATAACTCAGACCAAAATATTATATATGTGAAACCAGTACATGGATGTAATTTTGATTATTTACCTTGTATATCTACTTTTTAAAAATTAAATTTTCATATTTTAATCACGTGTCTAAACTAGTGCTTTAAATTATCTTTCAATTCACTAGTATCCTCTAAATACGATATTATGAATGCAGTAATGATATATAACATGAACCAAGTGTTTAAAATAGGAATGTAATAAATTTTTCAATAAAAAGGGTCAAAAGAAACAAAAATTTTTTGCTAATGTACAATTTTCTGTTGTAGTATGGTGATATACAAACATGTATAACACTATGCATTTAAGTTACATGTACATACCTATATACTCAAGTCATACAATCATTATCGAAGTCAATCTTAATTAGATAAGAAAATATTCACACAATAAACATTTAATTATTATATGAAAAGATAAATTTTCTACCATTAAAGCACTAGTCTGGATAGGTTGATTAATTATGTATGAGTATTTAAATAATTATTTCTCTGTAAAAAAGAAGTTGCTTATATATTTACACAAGTGCACGATTTCTACAATAATGCTGTATTATATACCATGAAAATCGTAGCACACTCTATAGTCTTTTAACAGTCTATATATTCATTATGATGCACAATTAAAATCATTAGTTTTGATACAATGAATTGCATTTTTTTAAAACATTTGTCCTATCACAGCAAGCGACCGCACTGCAGATTGTACATTATTCACATGAATATGATGAGCAACTGCATGGTGATGTTCGTCTACAACCATTTCACCATATTGAGCTCGACAACGCTTTTGATGTGCAAACAAACTACCACTGTGACTATATGCGGCGCCACATGTTTTACATACATATGGCTTTTCACCAGAATGTGTGTATGTATGTTCTTTTAAAGTACTAAGTCTCTTGAACGCTTTACCACATGTTTTACAGAGATAATTTGCTTCACCCGTATGTCTAGTCAAATGTCGTCTAAAAGCTGAACTTACAGCAAATGCTGCACTACAGACATGACAAACAAATGGTTTGTCACCTGTATGAATCCTAATATGGTTAGCCAAACTGGTTGTTGTAGTAAATCCACTATTGCAAGTTTTACACACGTGTGGTTTTACGCCGGTATGAGTTCTCATATGATACGTGAGAGAAGAATTACTTGGATATACTTTACTACATATGTGACACAAATATTCTCTGGGAATCTTTTCTTTCGGTTTATGCGTCCTTTGATGAAGAACAAGACGAGCTTGACTAGCGCAAACTTTCCTACAAATTTCACATGAAACTGGTTCAGGTTTTGGCTTATGCATTGATACATGACGACGAAGACCTTTTTTTGTTGCCATGACTTTATCACAATGTTGACATTTGTATTCACCAGAACCATCCTCGTCACTTTCTTCTTTTTTAACGCTTTCGTTCTCTTGCAGAGCATTCCTTGTAGTATCTGGGAAAGAGTCATCATCAGAATCGAAGAATTTATTATCATCTACTAAATTATCTAACAATCCGTGACCATGTTTTTCTGCATGTTTTTTTAATGTATCAGGTCTAAAGAACCATTTTTTACACACGGTACAGGAATACTTTTTATCTCCATGTACAAGAGAATGTCTTTTTAGATTTTTTAAACTAGAACAATGTTGACTACAAACATCACATTTGTACAATTCAGGTGCATTTTCAAATTCATCGATTTCGTTCATAGTACCACTTTCATCATCTGTATCATCTTCAAGTTTCATTTCTTTTTTTGGTTCTTTGTTATCCTTCTGTTCGTCTGTATTGATTTGTTTAATCATGTTGTTTAATTTTTCTGTATGGGATTTCAAATGACGTGCAAAGCCTTGAGGTTTAGAGAATGATGCATGACATAATTTACATGCAAGAGGTTTTGCTGCATGAATCTTTTTATGATTTTCCATATTCTCCTGCTTGTAGAACATTTTTAAGCAGATATCGCATTTATATTTTTTTTCGTGAACGAGTGAATGCTTTTTCAAACCTTTTTGTGTACCATAAAATTTTGAACATACTTTGCATTTAAATTTTGATTTATCAGAGTCTTGACTATCACTACCTGGGTCATAATAATTATCATCCATTTCATCTTCGCTGTAAGCTTTAGCCGTCACTGATTTCATTTTCCTGGTAGATGTACGTTTTTGTGGAGTCTTCTCTTCTTCTGTAATGTTATCATTTAGTATACTTTCATCGAGAAACTCATCTTCTTGTTTTTTGTCTGTTTCTTTTGTATTCTGATTAATATCTTGATTTTCTTCTAGTTTATCTTGTGTATCTATAGTTTCTGAAATACAATCGCTATTTCCTTGTGTTGGAGAAGTTTGGCTTATGTTATTCTCTGAGATGCAAGGTTCTTTTTCAGTTTCCTTAGATCCTTCAAATTCCATGGAACATATGAAAAGTTTATCATCTTGCATGTCAATCGTTTCAGTGCTTAAGCTGGTTTCATCTCTCGAATATGAGTTACTTTGTACATATTCTTGAGAATTTGATGCTACTTGCTGTTCTTCTTTTACAAAATAGTCCCCTTCGTTGACTTGTTTTTTTGGTAATGCTGTTTTTGTTTTCAATTCTATTTGCTTGTTTTTGTCCTAAAATATTGAAGAAAATATATACATATGTATGCTCTAAAAATATTAATTCAATTTGAAATGATTTCATATTTTTTAATGCAAACTTTTTATAAATAAATAAGATAATAAATGAAGCTCTTTTTTTATTCTAATGCTTTTTCTTCTTCTAAGTGTTTATAAACCCTCTGATTTATACAATATAAAGCATTAGTGAAACATGTTATACTTACCATGGTAGTCGTCTTCGTTGGTTTATTATAATACATTCGTAACTTGGCGTCAGAATGTTGACATTGTTGTCTAAATTCATGAGCAACGCTTGCTTTATAAATGCAAATATCACAAATTAACGAAGGTAATCCATCCTGTTCGTGAATTTCTATCGACCCACAAACTTGTATCTTTTGTGGAAGACCCGAAAAGTCACTTACTTCTTGATCTCCACAAAAAATAGGAGATAAATTAGTACCCTCTGTAAGGCAAATTCTGCATATTCTGTCCATATTAAATGGCAAATCAAAGTATCCTGTCATTGCTTACTGAAAGTAAGAAATAATTTATCTGTTGTATACTTCCTGTAAATAATCAATATAAAACATGTTACACGACATTTTCACCAACAAGTAATTATTTTGATAAAAATATCAAAACTTTTTATTTTTCTGACAAAAAAGAAAAATATACATTTTATGACATAAACATTGAATTTTTAAAAAATTCGAACCTATGTATGCGCAGTGCACATTTAGACATTCTATCTTGTACACACATCAGTAACAATATCATATTTAATACATTACTATTAGTGAAAATAAAAATGTGTTACAAGAAAATTTATGAAAGTATTATTCATGTTTGTGGCAAAGTACGTTTTCAGATGCGTCAGTACAGTCGGTAATATGTACGTAATGAAAAATTCGGATTCACATACGAGCTAAAAATCATGTTATTCTAAAAATACTTATTTTTTTTTTAACGCAAATAAAAAAAGATTAATGTACAAAAATGGGAGGTTCTCAACCTTCGGATCTTTTGTGCACCACGAAAACATGCCACGATGTGAGACAATGTCTTAGCAGTGATGCCCAGACGAATTAGAGTGAAGCTTCTTTGAAAAGTCTATATTTCTCGAATTTTTACGATGCACAGTTTCCATGAAATTTTTACCGTATGCCAAGGAACAATGTCACACGTTTCATTGTTGATTCTATGTTTGTCGTTTCTGCGAAACCGTTCTACGAGAAAAATTTAACACTTCTCTACCCTTTTGTTCAATGGCTTCTCTAGATATCCGTTAAAACCTACTACGAAAGTTGAGAGCAATCTGAAACGAATTCGCAAAACAAGCGTATAGTGGACTTGCGAAACGAAAACTATTGGATGGGTCAATACAAAGAAAAGCCGAGTATCACGTAGCCGAACACTTTGATAATTGCTACTATACGCAACGATTTTGTTTCGTGTATTAGAATACAACCGCACAATATAAGAAGTTAGATGTGGCCTATAATAAGAGGCGTAACAAGATATACAGGGTGTCTCGCACAAAATAACCTGCTTAATAATTGTCTCTTTAAGTTGTGACGACACGAGAAAATATTTCATACATTACTCGATATTTCAAGAAAAATTTTCTACTGAATTTTATTGTTTTCTGAAATTTTACAATTTTAGGATAAATTAGAAATACAAATTTTCAATTGTTTTGATAGAGTAAAGATTAAAAGTAAAGAAAAAAGATAAAAGAGTAAAGATTACATTTTAAAATTATATATAATATACTATAATCCTGAAATACATTCAGGATGATTCAGGAATCAATTATTCTAAATTCTATATAACTATGGTATATAAATGTATATTGGTGTATATTTCGTCCAATGGTAACTGTTTCTGCCTTTTAGGTAAATAACACTACTTGATACATCTGGTGACTTTATTTATGATTAGAAGACTGCGGCACCTATCATCAAACGTTCTAAGACGGAAAAATAAATTTCAATTGGAAGATCAAACCTCTTTTTTCTCTCGTTTTCTTTCATCCCATTTTAAAATATACAGTGAAAAGTCAGTTATGCTTTAAAGTATTGGATGCAAAAGCTTCATGCGTCTACTAACAAAAAAAATAAAAATAAATTTGTATAATATATGTATTAGTTAATGTATTGATATTAGCTACTGAATAGTACATGAGCTATTGAATAGTCTCCAGTTTTCATTTAAATCCTAAACTAAAATCTTCACACAAGTACATGTATTTCACGTGTAGCACTACTGTTAAATACTTCACACGATATATTTAAACCTTAAATAGAATTTGTTAACGAGTGAAATCCATTAATATATGTAAGTCCCATAAATTATAACAAACGTATAAATTATACAGGAAAAGTTAAATTATAATATATACATAAGAAATGCCGAAAAGCGAAAACAATATTTCTGCCATCTCAGCCATTCTGATATTTATTTTTGGATAACTTATTCTTTAATATTTTTTATTTCCTTTAAATTAAAACTACGTCTAAAATCTAATTCGAATGGATTCGTTTGTAAATGTGTTGCTGATTTTCATTACATTTTGGTTGAGAGTTTTATAATAAATAAAAGGGTTCGTGACAGTGCGCAGGTTTTGGATAGCAACATGATCTAGAAGGAAATTACTGATTGTAAATCGTAACGTTTGCTACAACTAAAAGTGTACATATAAGAGTATATTGACGCAGTTATATTGTAATTTTCTTGCTACGGACATGGAAGTAGTTAGGAGTGTATGGAAAAAGCCTCTTTTAATATATAAGGTTGGAGTACAAGCGTCTTTGAGAAATAGGTACATGGTGAGATTGATATAACCTAAACTTCATTGTATACTTTGTACTAAAACTAATACGAGAAGGTAAAATATCGGCCTCGTAGAAATATGTTTGGATTATAATTCGTGTCCACCTTTATCTAAATGTAAATATAAAATTACCTGTATAATATTCGTTGGCACTGCAATTTATTGTAAACATTATACCGGTATTTTATCGTTTTTTTAATGCATTGATAGTTTATACACAAAATAATTTGATACAATATTCATTAATATAAAATTATGCATTTTTTTTTAGTATTTATTGATGCTATATAATTTACATGTACATAGATATAATTTTATTTAGGAGAGAGGTATTCTACATTCTGCATGTTAATTGTCTTTTGACTGAATTAACAAGATTTGTTAATGTTGTATATTTGACTTTTAATATTTTTAATGCTTTTATGTATGGAATACAAATTTAATATTAGGATTGATTATTGTGTAAAAGTTTGTGGTCAATGGAAAGTCTGATACTTATTTGATCATGCTGAATAGAAACAAAAATAGTATTCCTGTACTTCTTTTACAAAATAAGTCCTGTCTTTATTAATCTTATATATTTTAAATCAACTTCTTTTTAATTATATTGCAGTAGCAGTTCTATATCCAAAGTAACAACAAAAAAGGCTCCTTCTGCGAGAGATGAAGACTCAAGAATAACAAATACTGACATAGATGTGAATTTGCAAGATGATGTAACATTTAATGCCCTTGTTTCAACCGAAGAATTACTGGCACAGATAGGATTGGCAAGAGAATTTGCTAGTGACAGTAAAATTGAGCATCCCTATGTTGATAAATTAAAAAGAGTACAAATGATTCTATTTGATTTAAGCCATGCTATATCGAAATCAATGCCTGGGGAAAGTAAGACATTTGAAAGCAAACATATTAGTGATTTGGAAGAATGGATATCAGAGTATTCCACTCAACTACCACCCCAGGAAACATATATTATTCCGGTAACAACAACATATTATCCTTTTTATATTACTAAACATATCTGTATTTCATTTTATGTGTTTATAATAGGGAGGTGGTAAAGCTTGTTCTACTCTACATTCAGCAAAAGCAATATGCAAACGTGTAGAAAGAAATGTTGCATCATTGGTTCAAGATGGTTTACTAAATAAAGAAGCACAAGTTTATTTAAATAAATTACAAAATTTTCTGTTAACAACATCACGTATTGCAGCCAAGTGTGATCAACGCACTGAAAATATATATATTCCTAGAGCAGAACTTACTGAAAACAAGTAACTTGAACGTTTTTGAAACAAACGCATAGAGTAACGTGTTCTAATTACTGTTTATTAATAATATGAACGGTAAATGTTATATAATGAAAGTTTACAATAACGTTATTGTATTATATATATTTTCAAAATATAAGTAGGTTGTAAATATTTTTTAATCAAGTTACAAGTGTCAGTTACTGGTTATATTGTTGTATTATTATATAAAAAATGTACATAGCAATTATGCAATGTATCAAGTAGTTGATATTTAAGAATTTTTAATAAATTCTAATATTATGGTACAGTTTTTGACTATGACATGGACATTTTATATTTCCTTATGTATTGTTATTTTATTATTGTTTAGGTTAGCATTAGTAAGATTAATTTTATTAAATACTCGTACAATTTTATTGAAGTATAGTTGGATATTTATTTAAATAATTTACTTTAATAAGTTTTATAAATAATATTTAATAATACTACTTTTGTACAAATTAAACCTTGAGTAGATCGAACCTTAATGTTGTATATTGAATTTTCATCAAACATATATACAATATACAAGAAAATATGCAAGAGAAGGATTGTAAATGAATGTATAGTTAAATAAAGCAAAACAAGATAAAAGTTATGACACTGAATTGTATTGAGATTTATAATGGTATAACAATGTTTGGTTAGGTCTATAATTTATTCCAAACATCCATCTCCTTCAACAATTTCCTTCAAATTCAGCAATTCTAATAGTCCAGAACCTTTTGTTTCAGATCGTACCAATTCAGTTATTTCTCTGTAGTGGCCAGGATCAATCAAACAGATTATGTTTAGCGTACCATTATCCCATTCCTCTGTTTCTATCGTTGCTATTAGCTTAACAATTTTATCTCTTAACTTCCTGGCCTCTTTGCCTGAAACCAAGACTCTAAGTCTCATTTGAGCCCGCTCTAATGGCATTACAACTTTTAATTGTGGAATAACATCCAAGGCTTGTTGCTTTGCATTGCGGTTTGGCTTTACAGAAAAATGCACGTCTTTCATAGCTTTTTCTATCATTGTTACTGTATATGGACGTTTTGTTTCTGGATTTACACATTTGTCAGCAACAGTTGTTGCAATGTCTTTAAGCATAGAATCTAATGCAGAATGCCTTTCCTTATCTGAAACTTGTAGCTCTCCCTTTGTAAGGATTTCTTTACAAATTTCTGTTTGGTTATCCATGCCAAAAGCCTTTATGAGATCTTCCTTTTTTGCTACTTGACCTTTTGAAACATTTGTAAACACTGTATGTGTCTGTAGAACCTCGTCGAGATCTTTTTCTCTGAAATACAATTATCAACAAGTTGTCATTATTAATAAATTATAAAAGCAGCATAAAACTTATAGGTTAGTTGTCAAAAATGTACTGTCAAAAGCAATTCCTTATTTCGATCAACCGTCAAAGACTTACAATTTGTTTCTCCATGAGATTACTTTGTTTCTGTAACAAGCGATCTCGAATCGTTTTCCTGATTTTTTCATACGAACCACAGCAACATTGGTTAATCGTATTTGATTCGTTGGCGTGAAAATTTTCGACATTTTTAATATCACAGAAATCCAACGTTTAATGTATTAATAACAAATTAAGTGCCCGTGCCAAAATTATAACTCGTTCAGTTTAAATAGATTTATCTTACGTATTTTACACACTTTCTTGCAAATTCTAAAAGTTGTACGCAGTTGTACGTAAATATCTTCCATGCGATTTAAAACACTCGATTCATAATCGAATCGTCGTAACATCGATAAAATTGAAACGTTTCATAATACACATAAACGTGCATATAAATTCAGAGTACTTCATGTCTACGACACCAACGATCATGTCTTTTGTAATTGATGCATTTCATTAATATGAATAGCAGTGATATGTATTATACATATGACAATTTTAATATAAAACATTCTTTATTTTTACATAATTTTTAATTGAAGTTCAGTGAAAACAACGCGTGAATGTCTATTAATGTAACTCAGAATTATAAAACTGTGAAAAAGTTGGAAGAAAAGAAAAGTATGTATTTACATATACTGTATTAGATCTATTAGGGATGCCAACAACTTTTTACGTTTAGTGCAAAAACAGTCGTAAATAAATACGACGTAGTGATTTCTTTTAAATCATGCAAATAAACGTAGATCAGAAATTTCTTTTTTTTCCGTACGTTTCTTACGGTATGTAAGTTTTATTACGTTAATTGAGAAATTAATATCGAAAAAATGGTAGTTAGACGTAATCGTGCGATAAGTAGAATCGCGGGATGCGCACGCTATGGGTGCGCGCATGCGCAGTTCACCCGTTACATTAGACTGTATCAAACATGGCCGCCGCGAGCGTGATGCCATTAGAAGTGCGTGAAAAATGATCGTTTTTTCGTGGTTTAAACGACACGGTCGTTTGTACGTCTATGCATAGTGGCAGTGAGTGTTATCTCCAGCATTTTGAGGACGTGGGAGGCCATTATCATGGCGTTGGTCACCGTGCAACGTTCTCCTAGTGTATCCAATTCCCCACAGAGTTCGGTGAGTTACCTCGCTTTGTACAACTTTGTTGATATGTGCTGTCAGTTTCTATCAGGAACGCGTCATTTCGAAAATTGCTTTCGTTACTGTCTAAAATATCGTATTCGCAACACGTTGCGGAGTCTTCAGTTTTTCGTTCGAACAGCCTCTCCTTATTTGGCGGTGTATTGACACTCGAGCGAAAAAGGAAATCGAGAAAATTCAGTTCTCTGTCCCGTGTTCTTTGTGACAGCGAGTCAAGAAAGCTTGCGTTGTGGAAAAACCAGGGTCATAAAATAAACAAAGACTTGCTTTGACGTTTCCCTCCTACGAACTGTGGTCCACGATTCGAAACGAAGCTGCACGAGTCTCGGTCAATCGTCATTTCGGTATAATTCGTACAAAAGAAACACATTTTTATATTTTACAATTAGTTATCATTCGAAGAACTTTGAACAATTTACCACACGAGATGATTTGTTCTCTGCACGGGTTACGACTTACAACCATAACCTGTATCTTGTTGAACTTTCGATTACACACTTTTTGTAGGAGCGGTTGCGTTTTTTCACACGTCGAGAATTTCGTTGCTCGTTTATTACGAAAAATTGTTTCGCTAAGAACGAAGTTTGTTTATTTGATCTATGCCAAATTAAAGTTGGAACGTGGTATTTATTAATATTAAAACAGCTTAAATTAATCGTAGCAATAGATGTAATTTCAGTACTTTGGAAAAATAGTTATTGTGTTGAGTTATTGATGAAAATGTTTAGGTATTTTACTTTATTCGTTGACACGATGTTGTTTAACACGTTCACTGGCAGACTAATACTCTTGAGAAAATTTCTACTGTGATTAAACTTTGTTTACAGACTATTGGAAACTGCGTAATGAAACATTTATTGTGGTGTGTTTAGTTTTGTAACTTCGTCAAAGTTCAAGTATTTTATTTGAATTCATTTTCTGTGACACTTAACTTTCAGAGTTAATTTTCGTAATTTTTCAGTGAAAAGCACTGTCACTGTAATTGTCCATTTCGCTAAGAAAACGGTCTCAGTTTCTGTATGGAAATTCGTTCATAGTGAGACTGATCGTGAACCTCGCGAAAAAGAGACGATCCCATGTCGTTTTCGTCGAAATTAAAGCTTCAAGAGTTAGAGAACGCGAACTCCCGCGTTTTTATCATTTTCGTCGCGCTTCCTTTCTTCGAGGATTCACCGTTCCCTAATAAAGGTCGTCATGGTAGTGATACGAACTATTGTTCGTGAAAATTCACACGGATTCATCGAACGTAATAATCTGCGGCGTCGCGACGCTAGCAGTCTCCGTAGGTCTCACGCTTCTCGTCACGATGGTTGAGTGGTGAAACAGAGTCGAAAAAGAGAGCGAAAGGAACACGTGGATTCCACTATACATATGTATCTCTGCTCTCCGTGAATTAGAACCGTGACGAGTGCGTTTTCTCTAACGACAGCGGCGCGGGCGTACCCAATTGTGGCACGTTGGAGGGAAGATATAAAAACTACAATCAAGTTCTACAATGTATCGGGATAGAATCTTAGTATCACGATGCGATATCGACTCGCGACACGACAAAACATTCAAACACGCGTTTTAATGGAACTATTCACAGCTTCGTGACGTTGGCATCCCCAAATGCAAATTTTGATAAAAATAAAATTGCATTCGTTTGTCCACGATTTGTCCACGTTTGTCCAACCACAATCGACCTTTACGCGATACCGATTAAGATACGTCGTTGCGATGAAGGATTCCAAGGTATGACTAACTCCTGAAACTCGTTGAACAAGGGAGCCAAAAGAGGGTTGGCGTTTCCCAGCGTGCATTTTAAATGCACTGAATGTTCCGCGGTCTATGAAGTGCACTCGCCGTCGGAAAGGGTAGCTGCATTTTTCTAGCTTATCCAGAGAGGGTGGATTCGATGGGGAATACTATTGATTGTGAGAGCCCGTTTCCTTCGTGGATTGTACGATCGTACAAAATCTTAGATGGGAAGATCCGAAACTCGGGAATCTAACAAATTTTGAACTTATAGTAGGGGGAACGAGGAATGACCCCGATCATTTTTTTCTTTTTAATGTTTCGCATATTACGAGTGTAAGAAACTGTCATAATTCAAAGACAACAGACAACATATCGTAGAGAAAATGAAATCGCGATACAAAATAGAAAACGAATGAATAATCAATAAATTACTAACACAAACATAACTGACAACTATAAAACGTATAAACATACCTAGTGGTTTTAAATATTAACATTCATCCAACATTCACATTACAACATATTACACAAGGTACTTAAAGATAAAATTCTGGAACATTTGTTTACGTAATAAACAACCAATACAATCAAAAACATTCTTGCATGTAAGAATGCAATGTCTCTTTTTTTCTTTTGGAAAATACAATGGATTAATCTTTAGTTAGTCTATGATAACTTCTTACTGCTTTTACACTTTTCAATTAAATTCATTGTATTAGGTTGTCCGGAAAGTTTCTTTCGCTAGTTTCACCCAATTATTTGATGTGGTCGTGTTTCTATAAACAGACAATCTAATTTCATAGATATTCATGTTGTAACAGTAATGGAGCAAAATGAATCGTGCACAATTCAGTGATGTAACATAAAACGTAAACTATTGTGCATGTATTACTTATTAACACGTTGGTCGCCACGTCAGCCAGAAATAGGTGACAGGATTTTCCATTAAGGAACTGAAAATATTAATTTCAAAGGTGAGACAATGATGAAAATGAATCTGGACAGGATTCGTGAATTTAACGACGTTAAAAAAATTAAATACTGCGACAGATATTAAATTATCTGATGTTCAATTGTATGGAGACAACATTTTAACATTATAGAAATTTTAAGGAGTTTTAGCTTGGCAGCCAACGTGTTAATAAAGGGAAAGAAACTTTTGGGACAACCTAATATATGGCAACGATATGAAACTGTTCATTCGGACAACAAGTCGGTGCTACTCGACTTCGCTATAATCGTATTACTTACAACAAAGTTATTTGCGCCACGTAATATGTTCATTTGAACCAAATAACTTTTGTAAAAACGGCTCGTATCACTAATTCGTCTGTATTTTACGTTTCTCTCTTGGATCTTCGCCGACATTTCGTACATCGAGCGGCAGCTTTTGAGTTTTAACGACGAATACGAAGGTATCGCACAACGACCGTGATAGGCAAGTGGCACTTGAAAGCACAACGCGTAAAATCGTTTAACAAAGGCAGCCTTAACAGGTGCTAAGCTGCCGGCGTTCGGGCTTTTTTTTTTTCACTGTGCACACTCGAGTATACACCGGACTCGTGTAAGTACACGTGTAGCTTCACTCAGCCACGTCGTTCCTCCACGGAAAAACTGGAAACGATGTATTCCAACGATGCTTGAACTGGCTATCATCGTTTTGTTTATTTCGTTTGGTCCGCAAGCGGTGGAATCTTTCTTAATTTTATTATTTCTACATCATTGTCGTTCGATCACCTCACGCTTTAAAAACATTCTTGTGTTCTTTCTTTTCTTTCTATGCAAATTAATAACCGCGAACTGAAAGAACGTATAGCGTTTGTGTACTGATTATGGTTATTGTTGTTTTCAGGACTCTGGTGCTGGTGCGCCGACGGACGATGATGATGCGGCGAGGACCTGTAAAAGGTAGGTCTTCGTTGGAAGCAAGAATTTAAAGCTACCGAGGCAGCAAAGAAAATATTATATTCGGTAGCTTTAAACTCTTGCTTACAGAGCTACTCCTACATGAAAAAATAAGTCGGAAATGTAGAATACGAACTTTTCATGCGAGGCATTGTTTTGGAGAAAATCGACTTTGAATTTCCGCCGTGTACGGGTGCGGCGCTTGATCGTGTCTCGTTATAAGGGATCTCACTGTAGATTAGTGTAGATCATTGTCTCGATTTATGTCTCGAAGTTATGTTGATGAACACTTCCAATGGGACGGAAACGTTTCCTTACCTATTATCTTACTGTCCGACTTTTAGCGCTAAACACTATCTATATAGAAACTTTCGTTAGGTGTGTTATTACGTGTTCCTAATTTTACGTTAGGATAAGAACAAACTTACCGCGTTACAAACAAACTGTTGTGTAACAAGATATCAAAGAAAAATGTGGTTGATGCATGTGCGCGTCAATGCGCACTGTAG